GTGTTCACCGTGTGCTCATCTGTGTGTGCTCATCTGTGTGTACATCCATGTGTACATCTGTGTGTTCATCCATGTGTGTCCACCTGTCTGTGTGCTCATCTGTGTTCATCCGTGTGTACATCTGCATATAAGTCTGTGTGTTCACCTATGTTCATCCATGTGTACATCTGAGTGTTCGCCCGTGTGTGTTCACCTGTCTGTGCGCTCATCCCTGTTCATCCGTGTGTTCATCCGTGTGTGTTCACCTGTCTGTGTGTTCATCTGTGTACATCCGTGTGTACATCCATGTGTGTTTACCCACGTGTGCTCATCCGTGTGTGTTCATCTGTGTGCATATCTGCGTGTACATCTGTGTGTTCATCATGTGTGTGTTCACCTGTCTGTGTGTTCATCTGTCTGTACATCCATGTGTGTTCACCCGTGTGCTCATCTGTGTGCATGCTCATCTGTGTGTGCTCTTCTGTGTGTGTACATCGTGTGTACATCTGTGTGTTCACCCATGTGTGTTCACCTGTCTGTGTGTTCATCTGCGTACATCTGTGTGTACATCCGTGTGTGCTCACCTGTCTGTGTATTCATCTGTGTGTGTGTGCTTGTGTATGCCTGGAGTCATCCTCAAACATTCTCATTTTCGGTTTGCTACAATGTGCTTACCTATAATTCCTAAATTTAACTTATTTTAAATCAGTCCTACTTACGATGACATAAGAAATCTACGTGCAGCCAAACGTGTGCCTTTGGGTATTTTCGGAACCCGCTGGGAAGCGGACGTCCTAGACCTTCTACAGTTGTCGCACCCTGAGGCCTGAGGTACGTTCTGCAGGGGGAGCGGTGGGCACGTGCCCCGGACAAAACCCGAGCTAGGGGCGTGTGTGCCCGGGACACATCCCCAGCTGTGTGTGCTGCGTGTGCACAGGTCAGCAGTCCTGGCTGGTCTCCAGCGCAGCCCTGGGGGGCTGGGGGGAGTGGCTGCTGTGCGTGTGGGGCTGCTGGTGGGACCGAGCCGTCCACTCCCACTGCATTGCCTCTGATCTGAGGAGGGCCAGCGCCGTGTGCAAAACCCACTCGGTCTGAGCGCTGTCACTGCCCCCTACAGCCCGTGGGTCTAGGCCTAGCCACCAAAACACCCATCCCTCAGTGTCCACACCCGGAAAATGGGCTGAACCCCTCCAGCTCTTCTCTCCGGGGCAGTGTGTGCAGAGGCCCTCCGTGAACCGTCAGGCACCCTGGGCGGGGGACACGCCAACCCATCAGCTGCGCTCTTGTAGGTGCGGTGGGGAGGGGGGGCTCCCGAGCTCCTCTCAACCCCAGTGGGCAGAGCTCTGCTCTCGCACCAGGGGCCTGGTGGGGCTACAGCCCTGCCCGACCCTGCCACCACCAAGAAGCTGGACTCACACAGCAGTGGCCGCCCCTCCGTGGGAGAAGCCAGGCCCGCGTGGAGGGCAGCTGTGATTCACCAAGCCCTGTGCATTCCCTTTTGTAAACCGTGAAGACAAACCATTACAGAACTGAGGATTACGTACGGGAACTGGTGCCCAGGGAAAGTGCATGCCGGACAACAGAAGCCTCAGGACGAGCCGCCTGCATCAGACCCCAGTAAATAATCCTCCTGCTGCCTAAAAAAACCAGCCCTAGAACATTCTAGAAACAAGCAGCTTGCAAAGCAAAATAATACCGTGGCCAAAATTCAAACTTTTAATTCTTTGATTCAAATAAATTGTGGCATATGTAGGGGTTACAATTCCTGTGTACCTAGGACAGATGCCCAGAGACGCCGGGAAATGCAGGAAAACGCAGGGCCCCCACCCCATGGTGCTGAACCAGGAGCTCCAGCATCAAGAAGGACGGGTGAGCGGCCCCCACAACCCCCTCTCCCACCACGCTCACGAGCGGCAGGGACGGGGGCTGCTAAGAGAAAGATCCAAATAATGAAGAGGTATCTAAATTTGGCCAACCAAAGTATAAATGGAAGCCAATTTGGGGGCCCGTTTTTAGAGCTAATTGCCTCTGATTGAAATCGGTTTTGATTTGGCTCGAATTGGAGGCTCAGACGGCTACGGCACCTACATGCCGCCCATGTCTACAGTGATCGCGCATCTGGAAGCGGACGGCTCCCGGCGGGAGGACGCGGCTTCGCAGGAAAGAGGCCAACAGCGATGTGAGGCGGCTTCCAAGCTCTTCCCCGTTGGTCCCTTCGGGTCCTCTTGGCCATGAAATCTTTAGAGAGGGGACTTCCCTTCAGAATGAGAACTCGCGTTAGGCAGAGTCCTCACCAAAAAGTCTCTGATTTGAACAATTCTATCTATCCTCCCCCCTACTTTCAGCCTGCGGTCCCATTGAGTGTCACGGCCGGTGAGGCAGGTTCGCAGGATGTGTATGTGACACACGGCACATCGGCCCAAAAGTGTGTGCACGTGGCACGCGGGCTTTCCTGGGCTCACCCCTGCTTCCCTCCTGAGCCCCTACGCTGTGCTGTCTACACTGCACGGGCCGGGGACCAGGGCAAGCAGCCCTTGAAGAGTGCGAATGGTATTCACGTACAGGTTACATTTTAATACATCCTCAGTTTACATATTGCACATAATTAGACATAAAATTACCCACTTCTTTTAAAGACTATCCCCAAAGTGTTGCCCTGGGTAAGAGCGGAGCAAAGTGTTGTCTCAGGAAGTTTAAGACGCTTGAAGATCCAAGACCAAGAGTTTATCTGGCACAACTCATCTTTCCATGATCAGAAACGTCCTGTTAGTGGCCAACAACCAAAATTCAGTGTCAAGTGTGACAAGAGGAACATTTCCAGAAAGTTCCACACTAGAGGATCTTTGGGAGGGTAGTGGGGCCTCCCGTCTAAGGTCTTTATGAAGAAGTAGAATTGTGCGCCTACAATGAACGGTGTGATCTCACTCTGTCATGTAAGCGGCTGCCGCAGCACAGACTGACCAAACCTTTTGAAGATTTGAAGATGTATGTGATCTGTTGAGGGGGGGGCAGGTGCGTGAATTGTTCTAGAGAAAGCTGCTGTAGATCTTTAAGGAATCAACCTATGCTCCTATGCAGGGAAAAGCCATCCCCCAGGCCCTCGTGACTCAGACTAAAGGTAATGAGTGGAGGGGTATCATCGAATAAGACGTTACAGGACAACAGATATTGTATTCTGTCATTTCCTCAGGTGGGAAAGACTTATCAAGTAAAACTCAGTCGCTGAAATATTGGAGTTTTTATAGCAGACATTTAATTGGAACCCGTAGTTTTGAAGATCCACCGATAAAAATGGGCCATTTTAGAAAACTGGTCAAGTTTAGATTTCCCAGAAAGGATTGCTCAAAATGGCATTTAGTTGTTGCAAAGACACGCTGACAAATGAGCGTGGCTTTCAGATGAACCACAATTAGGAAAAGGCCATCACTCCCTGAAGATCAGTTCTCATCCAGGAACAGGCAGCGTGGAGGGAACGGACCACTCCAACACTGCCCTGGAGGACGAGGAGGGCGGACCGCCTGCCTCTGAAGACGCGGATGGCGAGGACCCTCACCCACCTTCCGAGACGAAAGAGAAGAAGACAGTGCGGACGGAAGCCAGAGAAGTGGCGGCCATGCTCGGAGCTTCGGGGCAGCGTAAACCGAGCCCAAAGTCAAGGGATGAACACCCACAACACCTAGGTCCCTCAGAAAACTACTCTGGCCTCTGGGGGTGTGGAGACGCTAACCACTTAGAAGCAGTCCTACATACAAGCCGTGCAGAGGCTATTTCTTGTTTACGGCTGGCCTGCTGGAACTGCATATACGTATGCCAGACTTTGCAAAGCATTCCTCATCAAGAAATTCAAAGGAAAGGTGCCATGGTCTGATGTGTTGGCCACGTTCCATGTGCAGTTAGTCACGTTTTGATCATGAGGGAAATACGGTTTTAAGCTGTGAGAAAGGATGTCTTAACAAAGTGGGTTGAGGTGTTCTTGCACCTGTCCGTTCTGAGGTTCTAAAAGCTATTTGTCCATTAGGCACTGCGTGGATGACACTAGACTTTAAAGCCGTTAAGTAAGAGGATGCCCTCCGGGTGTTTACACGCCATGAAGAAAACGCCAAGAGTCTCGTGACGGAAGGGCTAGTTCAGGAGGTCACTGAACATGAGCAGGTGATCTATGGCGCTAGGGCCTTGGACAGGGATCCTGCAAAAAATGACATGATGTGAAACAGAGCCCTGCACTCTGAGACAGCCCTGGTGTAGCACAGTGGGACAGGTGTGGGGTGGAATCCTTGGAGAAGGAATTGTGTCTCCTCCGATCAGAGCGCCGGAGACTTTCACGCACTCTCTATGACTTGTACTGACTCCTTCCAAAACTTGTGTCGGAACTGAATGTGGTTCTGCATTTTCAAAGAAGAGAAACCTTAGTCTGGGGAAGTAAATGTAAGTGATCAGATTTATGCTTAAGATATAGAAAGAGTTACAGGCACAGGGGAGAGGGAGAGCGAGCGGCTGGAGGGGTGTGTGCCTGAGTGCTGGCGAGCTCCTGGCTGGACCCATCGGTGAGGTGACGCTGTCCTAGAGTCTTTGGAGCATGCCTAGGGAATTGGCTACTGTCGTGGTGAGTTCTTGTCATCAGTGCTATTTAAATGCCCATATTTTAAATGATCGTATTAACTAGTGACTGCTAAAAAACCAGTTTTTCATTTTTTAGGTTATAATCATTTCCTAAAAGCTTGAGTACCTCTGTCAAACTTCCTTTCCGTGTGCATGCGTATCAGGAGAGAAACTACTTATGCCTGAGAAAATTCAGGACAGAAAGGCTATGGCATGAGAGAGCTAGAGACAAATGAGAAGCAAGAGGCAGAGAGACTGTGCGGAAAGGTGACCGAAATCCCGAGGACCCGGTCGTGCGTGCTGTCCAGGCACTGCGGGCGCAGGTGATTTTCTTAAAGACACTTTCCTTTACATGTGACACACCCATTTCGTTACTACTAGGTGCAGAGATTTTTAAAAGAATGATTTTCGTTAAATCTTACTTGAGTTCTTGTGAGCTGGTAGCCAGCATGCTTCGAATGCTTTTGTCAGCGAGGGGGCAGCCGGACAGACTGTAAGACAGGCCAGAGAGTCAGGTGAGTAGCGGCTCCCGCCAGCTTACGCTCCCGGACAAACACAACATAAAGTTGAAACTAAAAAGTTTAATGCAGAAAAGCGATGGGGCAAGTGCTGTATATTGAATTTTTTTTTTTTGGTATAATTAACTTGGCGTACGTTTACGTCTTCGTTGAAGAAAACAGGTCTGTTAGTAAACGATTTTTGAAAAAGAATACGAAATGTTTGCGCTCTTTGGTTTAAATGTTTGTAAAGAATTTTCCAAATCGAGGTGGTTTATCCGAATGTAAAAGACACTATACAACACGTAAATCAAGCACGATTTTATAGGTCAACATAGAGCACTTAGAGGGTTGACACGTAATTCGACGTTTTTACTTTGACAGCATTGTTGAGGTAAGCTGAAAACAATAAATTGAAAAGACAGAATCCACCATGAGAAAAAATGAAGTCACACCTTCTATGTGAGGCGTAATTACCAGTCACATGACCACTCCCATCACACCTTGGTGTTGGACATCTGCCACCAAACAAAAACAAAAACAGCCAAAATAGTAAGTAGGTTTAAAAAAAAAAAAAAACTTTAAGAAAGTTTCATTGTTTCCAGTTTAGCTGCAATGTCTGTGAGGGGGTTAAGCGCCCTGAGGGAAGCTGCAAAAAACGGCACGGACCAAATGGTAGAAGGCGTCTCCATCACACAGAGCGTCCTGGGAACAAGCAAGCCACGCGGCTTCTCGCTCCGCTGAACTGGCAGTTTGAGACATTTATATGCTGCGAACGTCGCATGCTCAAACGGCAAGGCATGTACAGATCGGTTTTTAAAAATAAGCCAAGGGAAGGGACGGTCGAGAAGAGCAGGCATCTCGCCTGGAGTTATGCTTACGTTATTAAGTCCTTTTTGCTGTCCTTGCACTGGGGGTACTTGGGCTTGGGGCTGGGGATGGTCACCTCTCCCGGGTACCTTCTCTCCTCCAGAGCCTCCTGGAATGGGTCCAAGTCTTCCGGCTGCGGGCAAAACACAGCTTCAGGGCCGCACGGACGACAGTGTGACAGACCGACCGCAGACGCGTCCCGCCGGGGCGCCGGCCGCCTCTGCGTTTCCCTCCCCTCCCACCGCTGTCCCTTTAAAGGTATTCCACGCCTTCGTCCGGACGAGGCCCCTGCCGCAAGCGCGGAGCGGGGCTCTGTTCAAAGACTATCGCTTTCGGAGCGGACCGTAGCCGCTCACCTACCGCTCTAAACTTCTAAATTCACGGTCACCTGTCGGGGGGCAGGGCCTCACTCGATATTTCTGTTGGGGTACTAATAAGAGGGACACTCGATGCCCAGCAAGCACCTGTTGCTGTCCGGCACCCGTGTCCGACACTGACCTGCTAAGCTTAAACACTGACCCTACACGTGTTCTGGAACGAGAGTTATTCTGACCATCGGTGAGCATTCTGCGCGCGTGCGTTAAGTCCCAAGGCGAGGGAAGACCAACTGAGATTAATGTTGTGGTTCTCAGTTACTCTTATGCGACATTTTCTTTTTCAACGGAAGGTGTCTCCTCCTGGGTAAGCGGGTCCCCTTGTGCTAACTAAGAAATGCCTACAGGTGGCAGTACTCAGCAAACGTGTCTCGTGAATGCTCGCGAGTACTTTTGCCTTCTGGGACGGTCTGTTTGATGAAAACACTTCTGTCGGTTTAGGAGGGCTTAATTTTAATTAAAATAAATTCGGAGACTCAACCATCACGCCTTATTTGGCGGTAATGATTTAACACCGTAGGAGAGAAAAGAATACTTTGCAATTTAGCTTTTGCCACTCAGACTCTATTCTTTGGCAAGGCGTGGCTTCAATTTAATCAAATTTAATCATTTTTGAAGAATAAAGACGATAGGCTTTGAGATGAAATGGCCTTATAACCGGGTGCCTTTTCTGCCAATTCTTACAAATAGCCAATGCTCCCTTTTTTTCTGCACTACCTTGTTTCCCTAAGAAGCTATTGCTTCGATGGTGGTCTCCCTCTTGTATTCAAAAAGGGTTTTCATTTTCCAGTGACTAAAGAAGGTGTCATAATTTTCAGAACTGAACACTGGAGACAAAGCCGGGACAATAAAGAACAACCTTTTCTTCGCTTCTTTTCTCAGCTTCGAGGCTATTTTCACGACTTGGGGAACTTGAGTGTGAACGTTGTGACTACAGGTCTCCCCCACTTGGCGAAAGCGCACGTCACACCACTTTGCTCTCATGAAAGACCCACATTAGTACCTGCTTCTGCTAACAGAAAGAAACCAAAGAGGATTCGTGCTTCTAGGAAAAGAGGCGAGAAACGCAATAGCGCTCAGTGTTGGTTTTGCGGAGGGCCGTCGGAGCGGCGGCTCGCACCCGGGCTGCGCGAGCCGCCCCGACGGGCACGCACCTGCCCCCGAGGGCCCACGCAGCAGCGTCTAAGCGCCCGGCTCCAGGGCCCCGACCGCTGAGAGGTGAGCACCTGGGCTTCGTTTCAGGCCGTTTCCCTTTCGCAAAGTGTCCTCGGGTTGAGAAAAGCCTGAGAGGTTATTTTTGGGGTCTGGGGATGCTGAAAATACATTCCATATAAATTACTGGTAACTGCTTCTGCACTTTGTGCCATTTGGCTTAGGAAGGTCTCCACAGGAAAGCTACAATTTCCGGTCACCGTACTTCAGAAGTATGTTCCCGACATAGCTGTTTTAGCAATACTGCAGCCAAGGAAGATTTAGGCGATTATACTAAAGCGACTTCTCAGGGCTGGAATATTACTCTTCTGAATATTTTAGGTTTCTCTGGGAATAGGCACGAGCCTTCGCTTCAAAGAGCCAGCTAATTAACAGCACACAATTAACCATTTAAATACTTAACACTCTCCTTAGGATTCTCTATCTGCAGGGAAAACCATGCATCAGCCACATGTCACCCAGAAAAAGGGACGGGCTGGCTGGCTGTTGACGTCTTTTCTCAGAGAAATCGTTTGTGACTGAACGCACTTGTTGGGAAATGAAATTCACGCTCGAAGAGAACCCGTGGCTTGTGTCACCGAATCGGTGTTAGTGACAAATCTCTCCCTGGCCCGCGGAGTGCGTGGTCAGCCCTAGTCAGCTGAGGTCATCCCGCGGGTGCCCGCTGACGCCCGACCCCGCGCCCCGAGCCGGCCGGCAGGTGAGGGGGACGTACGGGGGCCTCGCTGGCGTCGCCCCCGTCCGCCCTGCGGGCCTTCAGCTTGGTGTAGTCCACGGGCAGCTCCCAGCAGTTGTCCTCGTCCAGCTGGAAACACCGGCCGCCCATCACCGCCTGCCGCTGGGGGGACATGGGCTCCAGGGGCGTCAGGACCGGGCAGCAGCTGTCCCGCGGCCGTGGCTTGTTCACGCTGAGGTCCAGAGTCCCGTTCTCGTCCACCTCCATGTCGGGGTTCTGCCGGACAGAGAGACGTGGTGACCGTGCGGCTCCACCGCCAGCCACAGCCCTGCCTTCGGCCAGTGCAGACCCCAGACGCGGGTTCCTCCCGGGGTCTCCCGCGCGTGGGCTCCCGAGGTGAGCGAAGCGGCGCCCTGGGGACATGTCTGCTGTCCCGCACTTAGCCGCGACATCGGACGGCAGGCGCGTGCATCTATTCGCCTGCTGGTGACCTGCGACCTGTCCGTCTAGCTCCTATTTATTTGTCTGCCACTCACCGCTTCTCTTTAGCTTCTCTTTTCTGCAGTTCCCCTCTGCTTTTAGAAATAAGCCTGGCCGGGGCGCCTGGGTGGCGCAGTCGGTTAAGCGGCCGACTTCAGCCAGGTCGCGATCTCGTGGTCCGGGAGTTCGAGCCCCGAGTCGGGCTCTGGGCTGACGGCTCGGAGCCTGGAGCCTGTTTCCGATTCTGTGTCTCCCTCTCTCTCTGCCCCTCCCCCGTTCATGCTCTGTCTCTCTCTGTCCCAAAAATAAATAAATAAAAAACAAAACAAAACAACAAAAAAAAAAACATTGAAAAAAAAGAAATAAGCCTGGCCGGAAGACAATCATGCCTAATCTCCACTCTATTCCAGCTCAAATACCGTTTACGAGATCAAAGATAGATGTGTGTTTACGCTTAAAAATTCGCCTTCAGTTTCACTGATGCAAATATTTCAAGACCAGGAGAGGAGGGGAACAGACCAGTCAGAGGCATGGAGGGCGAGGGAGAAGTTGCCAGAATTTAGTTTCCAACAAGAAAGGCTGCGATGAACAGCCTTTTCCACCTTAAGGGAGGGAGGTGTGCGATCACAGCTCAAACGACCTCTAGTCCAGTGATTCCAGTCTGACCTACTCTGCGTTTCAGCAAGCCCAAAATTGAGACAACTGTCTTAAAAAAATAAAGAAGTACAGGGTGAGGGTTATTATTATTATTTTTTTTAAATGACGCTTTGAAACAGACGAAGAGGTCTTCAAACCTTGCCTCTCCGGAGGAGGGAGGCAAGGAAGGACACATGAAGGGCAGAGAGAGAAATACCGCCAACCACCCTCCGCTTCCGTTCCCGGAGAGTTACACTCTCTTGAGCAAAATTCGGGTTTCAGGCTGGTGTGAAAGCTGCTGCCCACCCCAGCGTCTGGCAGCTGTCTCCTCTGGACGTCACAGTGGAGGGAAGCTGCGGGGACGTCGGCCCATCCAGGCTGCTACCTTGATAAATTACCGAGCGGGATTCTGTCTGTGCCCTTCCTGTCCGTGAGCACTCCGGCTTTCAAGCTCTCCTACTAATTTAGCCTTCATAATGTTGCAGTTAATTCTCTCGGTCTTAGGTTTAATAAAGTGAAACAAAATCCGAAGGGGTTACTGTCTTTTTTTTTTTTTTTTCCTCCTTGCCAGGGAAGCCCGTCCATGCTAGCCTCGAATTTTAGCAGCCCTGATCACCACAGAAATTGCACGCCCCTGACACTTCTCCATAATCGTGGAATAAAAATATTAAGAGTAGAGAAAGCAGGGAGCCTGGGTGGCTCAGTCGGTTAAGCATCCGACTTCGGCTCAGGTCATGATCTCACGGTCCGTGAGTTCAAGCCCCGCGTCGGGCTCTGTGCTGGCCGCTCAGAGCCTGGAGCCTCAGATTCTGTGTCTCCCTTTCTCTCTGACCCTCCCCCGTTCATGCTCTGTCTCTCTCTGTCTCAAAAATAAACATTAAAAAAAAAAAAAGAGTAAAGAAAGCATTTGCAAAACATGAAATTACTGGCCTGTCTCCATTCATATGCATCACAAGTACTCGTAACGAGTCCCCTCAGGTCTGAGTGCTCAGGGTGCATGGCCGGCCGCGCTAGTACAGGAGAGGGGGTGACGGAGTGGCCCCCGCCAGGTGGTGCCCTCTGCTCTGCAGCCCGAGGGACCGTCCTGCCCCCACGCCAGCAAGGTGACAAACCCTGCGGACAGACGTTTCCGCACTAATGAAAGCCAGCCGGGATGCGTGGCAGTCCCAGCGGAGACTGGATTCTACTTTCTTTCTTCCCTGATACTAGTGACCCACTGGGTGCGAAGGGACAGTCCTGTGCTTGATTTGACAGCGGGGCCACCCAACCCTCCTGGTGTTCAGGGTTCCTTCC